ACATTTACCAGATATTTCCATTTATGTACAAAATTGATAATAAAATGACACCTCTAATATTTTATGCCTTTTTAACAAAATAAATCATTTTTACTCTACTAGATTTTTAAATCAGAACTACATTCAACCTAAATCCTATTATACGGCCACCAAATTCTCGATTGTAAATAGAAGACCCAAATTATGGAATTCTAAACTTAATAACGGCATCAAAATTAATACTTCTTTTCATGCATTTAAAATAAAACTTAAACAAAAACTTCTTACTATTGACAATGAATTAAGTTATGTCTAAATATCTTAGATAATCTTATTATCTTTTGTTTATTTACTTAACTATTTTATTTTTTATGTTTATATATATTTTTTATACATGTTTTCGTTTTTTTTTCTTGTAATTGTTAAAACTGTTTTAAAACTGTTATTCTCTGTTAAACATTTGTTAGTAAAATAACTGTTGTTAAAATAACTTATAATCAAAGTTACACCCCTAATAGAACGCAACTCGGAATTAGACTCAAAAATGTGTAAAAAACTTCGTTTTAAGTCGGAATTAAAGCGTTTTTGGACATTTTTGGCTGATAAGTGGGAATTAGGAATTAGAAAGATGTTTTACACTAATTTCGATTTAATTGGATTGATTCAAGTAAGATTCAAATAAGTAAAAATTATGTTGCCTTAATTTCGATACATAAATATTTTTATCTTATAACTCTTTTTATTACGAGAAATATATACAAGTGTCAGTTGTTAATCATTTAAAATAAATACTGAACAACTTTTGATATCAAAAATATATACTTTATACCGGAAATGAACACATATATACATGGAAAAATAGATTTACTGACTAGTCATAGCATGGAACAAGGGTGTGCACTGTGCAATTTTTTTTGTTAAATCAACCTTGTTCTCTTGCATCAGTATCAATGTCAGCATCTTCCTTCACATTTAAGAGGCAGACGAACTGATTTTCTATGCAGTCTGCATCAACTTCGCGTTTTCTGTCATGATTTATATCTCAAGAAACTAGAAAAATATTGAAATCTGGTGAACTGAACGGATATCCTTTAAAGAAATCTCATCGTTTTTGAAAGGAAAAAATTGTCACTTTAAATTTATCTTCTACACCATCATATCGCATGTCGGAAACAACGCAGACTTTTGGCTTGCCAACTAAACTTTTGACAAGAACAACATTGTTCAGATATTTTTTGGAGATGGTAAAGTCCCAAAAAATCAACCGTTTCTAATGGCGCGTTACTTGGCATTCGGTTTGTTTCCCTCCTCTCCCATTTGATAAAATTTATTGGATGGACAGAAGTAATTTGGTTGATGACACAAAAATCATTCTCATTGAAGTTCGAAAACTGTACAATGTTTGTTTCTGCTCTATTTTTATCCACCATTGAGTAGAGTACGTCTTCTTTGACAATTGTTTAGAAAAAGTCAGAATCAAAATAAGTAAGTAGGAATTACACTTTTCAAAATTAAGTCAGAACTAGAAAAGTCTTAGTTAAGTTAAAATCATAACTTACAATGGTGGTAGAACAATTTTTGAAATCTCTTCCTGCATCAAACTGTTGCGCATTTGTGCGTGGACACAATGTCCGCCTTTTCCTCTAAATTGGATATTATTATGCATATGCAAGAATTTTTGGCAAAAGTATTCAGGAAATCTAGTAACCAACTTATCAAGATAAAAGATATTATTATGCATATGCAAGAATTTTTGGCATATCTTCGGGAATTGATCCTGCCGAAAATTGCAGTGACCCATCAAGCAATCCGTAATGTGAATATTTGCCGAATTCACCACACGGTATCGGCCTGTATAAATATGTAATATAAATATATGTGTATATAATAAATATATAGTTCTTATTCAGACTTGTACTTCAATCTGGCAGTTTCCATTTGAGGACATTTAAAGTACAACTGTTGTTTTCGATTGTGTCCAGATGTGAAGCAACATGTTTTAGAAGATTTTTCCCTGTTATTTCTTTTTTTGGATGTTTAGCAGCGATATTTATCATTCTTTCTTTAATTTTCAGATCCATAACTAATTTCAAATTATGCAGTTCATCCGGAGCAAAACTTCTTCTTCCGCGTCAACGGCAGCATCATTATCAGCGATTTCGTTTTCCACATATTTGCTAAAAAAGTTGTTGTAAATGTAGCATGCGCTTAAATAACACCAGCTTCGTTTGCAGGTAATTCATCGTTATTAAAAGGCTTATCATCTTCATCACTTACTACTGGTAGTTTCAGATTTCAACTCGCTTTCTTCATGTTTATCGGAAGCAGCGCGTTGAACAACTAAATCTAATAATTATAGATAAATATAATTATTATAAATGACATTCGTAATTATTCTATATAATAGAGAATAATTACGAATGTCATTTGAATTAAAACCATGTTTGCTAAATGAAGACAGCTTCTACTTTTTTTTGTCTACTTTTTGCAACAAGTGGATCATTATCAAATGAGCAGTCACTACTTGACGTGTTATAGTCTAATTCTTTTTGTGTTATTTCGGCCAAATACTGGATAATTAATTCTTTAACGCAATCGGGACTGGCTGCTCAATTATTATTTGACCCCAAGTTCATGTATTTATTATCCAATGAGTGGGTAGAATAATTAATATCTGCTTCTCCAACCCCTTCTGCTGCTGCAAATGTACTTGGAATCGTCGGACTTTGTATCTTTGTCACTTGATGATGAAGCAGACGATGATGATGATGTTGTAGTGCCCGATGCAACAGGCCCGTTAACATGTTCAAATAATCCTTTTTTTTTTAATTTCATCAACAGCACGATGTTTCAACTTATTTTGATTCAAATCGGTAATTTGTAGTAGATTTCTTTGCCTAATATGAGCAGGTTTTTTGTGACTGCCCATTATATATTTATCAGCGTTACTTTTGTAAGAACGCTCGTTCTCGTGGAAACATTCTTTCATATCCATTCACTATTAATATATTTTACTAACACAGCATAGTAAATTGACTTTAAAGAAGATTAAATAATAATAATAATAACAATAATAACAATAGTTCTAGGAATTTCTCAACTTCAAAGAAGCAATTTAACGTAACTTTAATGGCATTCTTTTTATTATTTATTACTCTTGATATTTGCTATATTAGTTAAAAAATTTATGTTTATTATTCTAGAGGTTAATAATAATTATTATAACAATAATATTGTAGAGTTTAATTTTTTTTTAACTCTTTCTGAATAGTCTTTTATGGACGTCAAGCTGCAAACGCTTTTTTTTTTAAATATTTATCTGTTGTTATATTTATATATGTAGTTCTCTATCTATTCAAGACGCCATTAATTTAATGGCATCTTAAATAAATTTTCCTAATATGAATTTATAAATACTATTTATAAATATATATTAGTAAAATACATTTAAAATGCCATTAAATTAATGGCATCATAAATAAATTATCCATCTCCTAATGACTTATAAACTATATATATGACATAATGACTTAAACTTTTTATAACTAACATTAATAGATGATACTTGTTATGACAATGTTGTAAATAAAATATGCTTGACTTCAACATTGTTACTGTTAAGTGAAATAACTAAGTACGCTTTCAAAGAAATTGTTATGTTTTAGCATAGTTTTTACATGCTTTAACAAAAGCATGAGAAACTTTACTTAAAATGAATAAATTTGCAATTACTTTAAAAAAAAACCATACTTAAACATTATTGCTTTTTTAGCCCGCTCTTTTTTTTAACTTGCTTATTTTTCTTAAAGTGAAGTAATGTTTATTTGCATAATAGTAATAGTAATAGTAATAGTAATATTTATTGCTGTAACAATTACATATTTGTTTAAATATAAATATTTAAAAATAAAATAAATTGTGGAACGCGATGCAAGCATCGGGTTATAGACAGCCCACACAAATTAAAAAAACACAAGTTATGAAAAATGTTTATCTATTCGCGCTTTGAAAACATTCAACGATGTTGCTTCAATGATTTCATTTGGTAACAAATTCCAATTTTTACAAACTCGATTGGTAAAAAAATTATATCTCGGTAAACATGATGGTACGTATTCTCTTTCTAGCCTGTATTTATTGCCCCTTACAGAAAAAACCGGGCCTGAACTAGTCACGGATGATGCCGGTTTTGGATTTTTGTACCAATTTATTTGGTCTATATTTTGCTTGAATCTGTATTGTTGTATAAGATCTCCTCTAGCTCGTCTTTTCTCTAATGTTGTTAAACCCATTGCTTTCAGTCTTTTTTCATATGAAATCTTTGTAAGTTGTGGAACTAACTTCGTTGCTCTTCTTTGCACTTTCTCTAACTCATCAATATCCCGTTGTAAATAAGGCTGCCATGCAGGTATAGCGAACTCAAGAAGCGGTCTCACAAATGTCGTATATAGTGATTTCACCATTTCCACATCGAAGTATGTAAACGTACGTTTAATTAGACCCAAAGTTCTTTGTGCTTTTGCTGTCGCTGAAGTCACTTGATCATGCCATTTAAGGTCGGATGAAATAATCACTCCTAAATCTCTTTCACTTACTGTTGTTTTTAATTTATACTCTTTGCCGTCGTGGTTCATACAATAACTCGTACGTGGATTTTTTTTACCTAAATGCATCACCTTGCACTTTTCGATGTTCAACTTTGTCAACCAGATATTCGTCCATTTTACAAATTCGTTAATGTCATTCTGCAAAGACTCATGATCTTCAACATTTTTTATAACTTTGATAAGTTTACTGTCATCTGCATATAATTTGCAATTGGAATTAATAACTGATGGTAGATCATTTACGAATATCAAGAATAACAAAGGACCAAGCACATAGCCTTGAGGCACAACACTAAAAATCTCAAGCCATGGAGACACGTCTACACCCATCACAACTCTTTGCCTTCTTTCTTTTAAAAAAGACGATATCCAGTCATTTATTACACCCTTGATACCATATGCTTCACACTTTTTCTACAGTCTTTTATGTGGAACCTTTTCAAAGGCTTTGGCAAAATCCATATAAATCATATCTACCGCTAAACTGTCACTCATGCTTGCTGTTAAAATGTCTAATGTTTCTAGCAAATTTGTTACACAGGCTTTATTTTTTACGAAGCCGTGTTGATTTTTTGATAGCAATTTATTTTCCATCAGATGAGTCAATATTGCTTCTTTTATGAATGCTTCCATAACTTTGCCTGGTACAGATGTTAATGATACGGGTCTGTAGTTAAGCGGGTCTGTTGTATTTCCATTCTTGAATATTGGAGTAATATTTGCTTCTTTCCATTTGCTAGGAATTTTTCCTGTTTCAATTGATTTTCGGTAAATTAAAGCTAATGGAGTTGCTGCACTACTTGAACAATTTTTAAGTACTTAAGGACTAATACCATCACTACCACATGCTTTGTTGACGTCCAAAGAATACAGTTTTTGCTGAATTGCCTCATTTGTAACAACATTTTTCCAATCCCATTCAAAAGGTTTTGTAATACGTGGTACAAACTCCGGAATTTCACCATGCTCTTTAACAAAAACCGATTGAAAACTTTTGTTCAATATATTAACAATCTCATGCCTGTCAGATGTGAGTACATTTGCATAGTTTTTCATTGATTGTATTTTACCGATGTTTTTTTGGTTCTTTTTCGCGTATTTGTAGAACAGTCTCGGATTTTTTTTTGCATTATTTATAAGATTTTTCTCATAATCAATAGTGGATTCTTTTAATTTGCTTTTGACTAATTTTTTTACTGCTTTGTACTCATTTAATTTATTAAGATATTTAAATTTACCAGCTCTTAATTGGTTCCATAAATTTTTCTTTTTACGTATTAAAGCTTTAACTTCAATTGTTATGCATGGGTCTTTTTTAACTTTTTGATCAAACCTGGCTCTTTTCTTTGGAATATTCAATTCAATCAACTCATTATATTTTTGTACGAAAGCACTGTAGCAATGGTCCACGTTTAAATCCTTGAATAATTCATACCAATTTATTAAATTAAAACCAAGATTTATTTTTTCATGTTAAAACACTTCAAAATGTTTGAAACAAATTTTTAAGTTTAGAATTAATATATTTTTTTATAGTTTTTATTTTTTATTGTGCGTTTGATGCCAATAATATTATAATTTTATTAACTTATTATAAAATACTTAAATATAATATATAAATAAAAATGATATTATTTTTAAAAGTTTTAAAAAAGAACGTCAAAATAACTTATATTTTATTTTTAGCTCCTTTTATTTTAATTTAAAAAAGTAAAAAAATTTGTATTTAATAATTAATTTTTTTAAATAAATAAACATATAGCTTGCACAAAAACTAAAAGCTCTCCTTAGAAGCTGTTTAAAAGAGCAGCTTGCATCTTTTTTTTAATACTATTTCTTTTATGATAAGACTTTTTGTTAAAAGACATTTAATTTTATTAAATTTTTTTTATTTTTTAGTTGTACCATTGTTTTGTTTCAGTTAGTTTACTGTTAATTATGATTGCAATTTAGTAAATTTCATTACTTAAACAATTATGGTAACAACTCAGCACATTAAGGTAGTAACAGTTTTATTTACTGATAATTCAACAACAGGTTTATATATATATATATATATATATATATATATATATATATATATATATATATATATATATATATATATATATATATACATATGAAGGAGACGTGAACTTCCTATTTAAATGCACTTCCGCGGTGCTCTGTGACAAGACCGTTAGGTTTTCTTGGGGCACCTAAATAACAAAAATAAAATACAATTATGCGGTAAATTTCGAGAGCGATATTTAGATAAGGTTTTATTGGCTATTAGTTACAAATGCTTAGTTACAAATACAAATATTTAGTAGGTAAGTACGAAGTAATTTTTTGAAATTACAATAAGCCGCTTACGAATTGAAATTTTTTTCTATTTACGAATATCATAAACTGCAGCCATAGCGATTCAATCGCGTTTTTATGGTTATTAACTTAATATACTGCAGTTTTATCATAAATTTTAAAAATCAAATTTAGAAATTAAATCTTTTTAATAGAAAAGTTGCAAAAATTTCAAGTTACTAATTCAAAACAATTTAAAACAGAAGTTTATTTTATTTATTGATACAAAAAAAAAAGTGTTTATTTTTCTTTAAACATTTTATAAAGAGGAAGGTGTTTGCGATCTAGATTTTCTACTAGATCCAAAAGTCCATACGGATGTAGAGTTTACTTTGTAGATGTTGGTTGTATCAATATTGAAACTGATTTTATCTATTCACTCACAGTATTCGTTACAACTAAGCTTTTTATTTTTATTGGAGTTTTAGTTTTTATTAAGTGCTTGTAAAAGGCTTGTAAAGAACCACTCGAGCACTATTACGTTGCTAACTTCAAGGAAATTGTATTTATAAATTAATATTTTTGCATGTATAATATGTTGTTATTTCTTATATATATATATATATATATATATATATATATATATATATATATATATATATATATATATATATATATATATATATATAATATTTTGCATGTATTATATTTCGGAAAAATAGATTTTTAAAAATGGTATCATGTTTAGAAGAGCGATGTTAATTTATACAATTTTATATGGAACTATTAGGGTGAAAAAAAACATTAAACAGACTGAAAAGTACTAATTAACTAATTCAAAGAAGCTGAGAGAATTATAGACATTATTATATTTAAAATCGTTTTGTATTTTGTAAAATTTTTCACCCCCTCCCATCCTCTCTAAAAAAACTTTGAAAAAATTTTAAGGGGGTAGGGGGTACAAATTTATTGCGTAATATTGGAGGTGGGGTCAATAAAGTGCTACGGATGCGTTACCAGAGGAGGTGGGGGGAGGGGGCAAAAAATGTAAAAAACTGCGTGACGTAATTTATGGACGACCCCTTTGACTCAGTTGACGCCGTGTTTTTTCTTAAAGCCTAGCTTTAAAGTTGATGGTTGAGACTCAGAACCAAGCAGATACATTAAAGGGTCTTATGAAGGTTTAATGATATTAATGTTTTGGGTTAAAAAGTTGAAGGTTGAGGTTTTTCGAGTTGCGGTACAAAGTAGTCCAGTGAGAAGAGACAGGGTTTCAAGAATCTGTAATGTTGCTACTTAGAAAAATCATAGCCAAATAATACATAGTTTAAATCTTTTTGCAATTTTTACTTGGGGGTACATTTTACAAATGTATTCAGTTCTAGGTAACTGAATACACAATACCGTTTGATTTAACCACAGGATAATTTTCTTTGACTATCTAAATCCAGAGAAGCATAGAATCTATTCTATGCTTCTCTGGATTTAGATAGTACCGTTGATCAATTACTGTTTGGCCAAAATAAATAATTCTTTTGGATAAAGGAGAGGTTAATGGTGTGCATTGTTACTTTCTTGCAATGCTAGCAATTAGACAACTTGCGAGGCTAGCAAGTAAAGGTAGCTATTAATAACTACTCAGCATTAAATTTCCACCATGCTAAAACATTATACATTCTTAGACGAAACTATTTGTTTCCGACAAATCACAAAAAACCACAAAAGTATTGATAATTTTTGTTTAAAAACCGCATATGCGATAAATTACAAAAGCAAAATTTGGGCAATTTATTGCGCGTTAATTTTTGTCTAAAAAATTATGTGCAATTCAATGCAATTCTTCATTGCTTTTTATCGCAGAATTGAGAGCGAATCACTTTTGTGCTAACCGCCAATGCGGTAACGCCAGTGCTTAGTACTTCGGTAACAACGGCTACCAAAGCGTTTAATTTTTTTAAAGTTGACTATATTATAAAAATTGTTTTATAACTTTAAAAAGTAGACTTAATATATAGTCTGTTGTCATGCAGCAAAGCACAAACTTTTCAAAAACAGCTTTGACAAATACATTAAAACAAAAATATACTTGAAAGCTAAACGAAACTGTAAAATGAAAATGCAGTCCCAAAAATACTATATATATATATATATATATATATATATATATATATATATATATATATATATATATATATATATATATATATATATATATATATATATATATATATATACATCTATATTAAAACATGCCATAAAGACAGTCAGTCAACATTTACCGTCTGATTGTCTAAATTTGCCGACTGACATGTCTAAAGGGTCTACATTTGCCGATGACTTGTCTAAAAGGGTCAAGTTTGGCGAAGAATTATTATAACCCTGAACTCTTAAGTCATCAATTGATAATGACATGTTTTAATCTGATTCATCAAGACGAGGCTCATAGATTCACCTGTGTTTCATCAAGACGAGGCTCATAGATTCATCTGTGGTTCATCAAGACGAGCTTCATAGATTCACCTGTGATCTTTGTGTGATGTTAATGGTACAAATCTTAAAAAGTGTTTTTTTACTTGATGTACTTTTTTACTTGTAGTACGCTACTTTTGTGGAATTCTTCATCATCATATGCATTTCTTAAAGGTTGAACAATGTCCACAAATCTTATTAACATTGTCATTTGTTCTGTGCGGTTTATATCTGGTGTGCAATCAAGAATAATAGAAAAATATTTAACCAATTGAGAAATTGTTAACCAAAAGAAATTGTTAACCAAAGAAAAATTGTTAACCAATGAAATGATTTTTTCTTTGATACCATTTTATTGAATTGTGAATCTTGAATAAGTTCAATGAAATTGAACTTATATATTATATTGTTACCCAAAATCAGAACTTATATATCATATTGTTACCCAAAATCAGCTTTTGTACCGATAGAATTGCAATTTGATTGACTTTATGTTAGCTTAAAAACCAAGACTTTATGTTGGCTTAGTGAGTAAATATATTGGCTTAGTGAGTCGATATGTTGGCTTAGTGAGTCAATAATATAAGCATAACTTTAGTCAATATAAGTGTAAGTTTAAAAAATTCAAACATTTTTGAGTAAAATTAAAGTTGCGTGGCTTTTTCGGATGTGTAGTAGAAACAGAAGAATTTGCCATTTCAAAGAATCTTTAGCCATTTTAAATACGAGTAATAATATCAAAATATAATAAATATAAATATAAAATTTTAAGCGCTCGTTTGCTAATTTCTAATTTTTTTCATAATAAGTTTATTGTAAGCAGTAATTGATAAATTATCATTCTTTCTGTGCAGTTTCATTACGTCTTGTAACTTTTTCTTACTTCATTTGTTTGGAAATAGTAATCTTCATTGATGTAAATTCCGGATTCTTTAAGTTTATTAGTAGTCTACAAGGTTTTCACTTTGTTTTTATAATGGAGTAATTTAACAACTATAGTTCTTATCTTGTTTTCTTTTTTTTCCTATTCTGTGCACAGAGCGGTGATATACATACAGTGATAAGCAAGTAATATACATACAATGATAAACAATTAAAATAGCCACTTCAATTGTTTATCACTCTAAGTATATTACTTACAGTGCAATACCTCTTGTAGTTTTTCTTCTATATATTTTCAGTATGCTTATACATATGCATGCATTAAATATTGTGGTGAAGTCAAATTTTAATGCTTTAGATGCATTATAGCTATTATTTTTCAAAAATTTGTAGGATTCATCAAGATTTAAATTATATTTTTT